TGCATGTCTCCTGGTTTTATGCTGAAGCTGTAAAGGGGCTGAAGCCTTATATCAGTCTGCATGTGCTCAAAACTTTGCATATTGGGAAAAAATAATCTGTTTCTGGGTCTCTCAGCCTAGAGGCATGAGAACTCCTTGAACTGGAATTTCATTTCTTCTCCCGATTGTCCTGAAAACCTGGAAAGTTTCACCCTTTTTACTTTCCGAATTGGGATAACTGATCTTGCCTCTGCTATAAAGAGCACCAAGGGATCTTATAATAGGTCTATATCTGGATAATATATAACATTTTTACTATTCAAATGTCAGAAGTTTTTCACAGCTCTTGCCTTTACTTCACAAAATAACCCCTTTTTAGTGTTTAACTTTACTCAGAAAGAATTATATCTGCAGAAACACTGGCTGTGTAACTTTCTTAATAGCAGCTGTCAGCACGGCCAGGCATCCTTTATGGCAGCGATGAGAGATATAACAACAACATCAATAACATCCAGCTCTGACAGAGCACCTTTTGTCAGTAGATTTCAAAATATTTTAAAAGACTGGCCTGTCTGCAGGATGGAAGCAGCAACGCTCATCTCCTTTGCTAGAGCAGTCACAGGCAGGCAAAGAGCCCCAGGAGGAGGAGGAGGAGGAAGGAGAGCGGTGATGTGCAGAGCTGGCAGCAGAGCTGGCCTCCTGGTCAGCCCAGTGCTGCTGGCCACCAGCTCCCACCGCCTCCAAGCGGCCAGCACACACCGTGCCAGCCTCCGTGGGCATCCCTACCTTCATGCCAAACATCAAAAGCTGAGAAACAGAGAAGGCCAAGCAAAGCCCAGCCCCAGCGCACAGCGTGTGCAGCATCAGAGCGTTAACACTGATGGATTATTCAAATTAATATAAAGACAATTACACTGGATAATGCAAGGAGCATCGCTCATTAGCTGGCTGGCGGGGTTGCAACACTCACCAGGGAAACAAGTGCGTTGACAGTGACATTACAAGTGTGCTACCATACAACTTGTCTAATCACATTAACTGCAGATCAGGCCAACCTGAAAGCAGCATGCAGCAGTTTGCACCCTTCTTCCCATCCAGCACAGTTCCCAAACCCTGGTGACCTGCAGCCAGCGTGACAAGTGACAGAGCCAGCCTCAGCCTTCCCTGAGCAGAAATGTTTGGAGACATGCTTCAGGCAGCCCAGGCGTATGGAGAGGACAAGGAATTCACATGACCACTGTTTGGGGAACAGCTAAGGGTCAGGAAGGAAAGGCATGAGGAAAGCAGTGCCATGTCTCAAGCCCTAACTCATGCACACACCGAACAAGGTAAGAACTAATCTTCCTATTTTATCTCTCACACTGTGCAGAATGCATGGTGGAAACTAGAGAATATTTATCAGCTCTTTGCAAAGGAAGTTCATCTTGCCTGTGCAGCAACTACTACTACTAGTTACAAAGCAATTTGCATGGCTGCTATTAAATCTGTTCATTAGCAGCATTGTTGCGCCAGGCAACTTTGGACTATGGTCACATCAAATCCCATCCATCAGGCTACATACTGCATACTTGAGTAGTCCAAGAAAATCCAGAAACTGCAGAAAAATGCAGTACTATACCCAGCCAAGGTGCCGCCAAAGCTGGGCACCAGCTTTGGGCAAGAAACTTAAAGCTCCCACCTCTTGCAGCTGCATCCACTGGGATTACAAATAGCAACATGCTCCTGTTGCACAGAGATTTAGAGGATCCTCCTGAGCACAGGCTCTTCTGGCACACAGGGACCCTGCGCTTCACAGCTGTGGGCTCCAGTCCAGCAGGATCTGGCCACACTTCAATGCAGGATGGCAGATCCCAGTGTACAGCACCTGCTGTAAAACATGCTGGCATCCTCCAGGATGAAATGCAGTATATAAACATGAAGGATGATCAGGCCAATGCATCGGGTCTACTCCTTGTAGGACTATTGCATGTGCGTAATTGCCAAGCAATCAGCAGGACCCTGCCTCTCTGCATCTACAGGGTATTTTATTTGCTGAGAAACCCTCTGGACAGTGATATTGCTCCAGAGCTACAACGGCTGCTCATTGCACCGTGCTGCATTACCTGCTTTGGCAGTGTGGTGCTAAGAGCCCCGTGGTAGGTGCCGTTTCCATGCAAAGGGCCCGTGTGGTTGCTATAGCAGCGCAGGTGAGAGGCAGCGAGATGCCTGGAGCACGCTGAGACGAAGGACAGGCCGAGGCAGGGGGGACCCGCGCGAAACGCAGAGCTGCCAGCTCCAGTGAAGAGCTCCAACGAGCTCGTGTCAGAGCAGAGCTGCGGCGCGAGGCGAGGGGGAGGAGGGCAGGCGCTGAGCCACCCCACCTCCCCGCCCCTGCGGCATCCTCGCTGCTCGACGCCATCCCCGCAGGGTTCAGCACGGCGACGGATGGGAAGCCATCCGGGCTGGCTCATGCTCTGGTGGCCCCTGGCAGCATGCAGGGCAGAGAAGAGCGACTCTAGAGCCAGAAGCGGCATTTTTCCAAAAAGAGTCTCTTCCAACAGGTTGGGAACTACCAGCCAACACACCTTGGAGGATCAGCCGGAGTCTGACACCTCCCAGCAGAAGTTCTCTAAACACCTTGCCGTTTCGCAGCAGCTACCAGCAAGGCCCAGACATTTGCAGGGTTTCCTCCTCCGCCAATGCCCTTTCCAGCATTTTGCAGCCTGCTGATGCTTTTGCCTGGAGACTTAAAACAAGCGCTCGCTCCCCACAGCGCGAGTGCCACCAGTGCGAGGCTGCAGCTCTGCTCGCTTCCCCCACGCCAGTCGACAGCGTTTGCAATGACAGTCGGCGTTTGCAATGACAGCTTGTTTCTCCAGACAGGCTGGCTTCACAATTGCTTGCTCAAGAGGAAATCTGAGAAGGAATTTTTTGGGGGCAGAAGAAAGCAAAACAGTGCATTCAAATTCCAGCATGTTGCAGTCTGCATCTCTTCTCTTTTCCTTCTCATCTCATTTTTGGTTTCCAGCCCCCGGCACTCTCAAAACATGCCGTTCTTGGCTCCATCTGTTCTCGTTACCAGGGGCTTCGCATCGCCCAGAGCAGTCAGAGTTGCTCCCGCTCTGAGCTGTCACACGCTGATAGTGACCACCGCCGTCCTGCCTGTCCCGGCACTGCGATCCGAGCTCCAGGGAAGGGCTGGAGCAGCAAGGGAAAGCTGCTGCGATCACCAGACAGATAGCAACAAATATATATGTTAAACGCATGGAAATAAGAACAAATAGTAGGGACGAGAAGGCAAATATTGAATAGGGTCCAGTGCTGAGACTAAACAAATAGTGGAAAATGAGAAGCTTGTTGAAAAGACATGAGCAGCGGGAATATGAACACCAGGAATTAAACCAACAAGCGAAGGGAAGCGGCGCAGCCCAGGGCGCTGCAGGAACCCTCGCAGCCAGGAGCAGCAGGGCAGCACCTCGGCTCCGTTTCCCGCTCCGGAAAAGGGGCGGCAGAAGCACCGTGATGCCTGCCACGTGCCCACGGACGCTGGGGCTGCGTCAGGGCACCCTCAGCCCCAGCACTGCGACGAGGGGCTGTGCCCGACCCGGCCCCCACGCTGCTGGGGGTAAACCCATGCCGGCAGCGCTGCAACGCGCCCTGAGCTTTCCTGGCAGCACCACGGGCTCCTAGTGCTGCAGCGCCAGGCAGGGGCAAGGCACAAATTGCAAGAGGAGATGGGGTGGCAGGGGAGGACACTACCTTGCAATAATTAACTGTGTTAGTAAACACCATCATTAGAGTGATCTTCTGCAGCTTTGGGCTTGAGGGATGCAGGGCAGTCTTCTCTTTGGGAGGCTGTGCGGAGCATTGTCACAGCTGGACAGCAAAAATTATGTGAGAGAAGGAAGAATAAAAAGACCACCCAATAAATAGTAAGCGAAATAAGGATTCAGTGCCAGGAACAGGGATATTCAAGCATCCTTCCCGCTTCACAGCTTTCACTGACAATCCTCACAGGCCTTGTAAGCACCTGCCCTTCCTTCCTGCAAGCTGCTCTCGCACGCTCCTCTGCTCCCTCCGGACATGCAGCCTTTAGCTCTAGGTTTTTCTGCTCATTAAAAAAAATTCACAGCACACCTCATTTGCAGAATTTCTATTCAGATTTGCCTCTCAGACCAAAATGCCGGCTGTGAAAGCCAAACCAGCGCCCGCGATTGGACTCTATATAAGTGTGCATTTGATAGCAGGATGAGGGAAAAGGCTGATTCCAGATCCAAGTTTTCTATTTGGCCCCCTGCACACCACAGCAATGTAGGAGGGCCCATACATTACAGAAAGGTGCCCAGGAAGCAGAGGAAGATGAGTCTCCACAGGCTGGTTGCAGGTTTGCTGGCAGCTGCAGCTCTCCTGAGCCGCAGAGGGGTCCCTGGACTGTCCCGAGCACGCAAGCGAAGATGAGCAGGGGAGGCTGATAGCAAGGCTGCAGCCAGGCTCTCTGCAACCCTGGAAGAGATGCTGCCCACCTCTGCTCTTGCACTGGAGCTCCTTAGTCCACCCAGACAGGTCAGCAAAACCATAATCACTTTTTATGGCAAACATCTGATGCCCCCTTTCACAGGTCTGCCTGTCATTCCAGCTATACACAGCTTCAGTCTTGCAAAGGCTTAAACACATGCTTAACGCTATGAATAACTATCTCATGTCTTCGGTAAGGACATCCTGCCATGCACAGGGGCGATTGCAGGATCAGAGCTTAATTCTATTGAGCATTTTGGGTACAGCTTGCTTGAAGGAGTCTGAACAATAAGTCTGCATTGTCCTCATTACAACCCAGAAATTCAAGAGTGTTCATTCCCTGATTTAAATCAGCTCTGCTATTTGAATGAAGCAGGCAATTTATTTTCAATTTCTTTTCCAGATTTTCCACTCTTTTTCATCCACTGACAAAGTAGCATTTATTTCCAGCGGAGTTAAGCAGCAAGGAGGCTGGGTGGGCTGTGCACAAGTTAACTGTGCAACACCTACGTTGCCATTAGACTCACCAGCTTGGTTCTGCCACCGGGGAATTCAGTCCTCAGCAGAAAACTCTTGCAGTGTCATGGCTTGTGCAGATGCCTGCAAAAACAGATCGATGCACCTCAGATCTTCCACAAACCAGTGGTAGCTTTAGGCAGGAGACGAAGGGCTGAGCAGTTGGTGCTTTGGGGTTTGCTGCTGCAGGCATGCTGGCTGCGAACCGCCGGCCCGGCAGAGCTCCGTTTCCCAGCCACCGCGCTGCATCCCTCCTGCAGGACTTTTACAGCCCTTCACGCCCCAGGTCTGTCAGTCCAGTGCCTTTCACCAACACACAAAAGATTTGAAGATGAAAGCAGAGAACTACAGAAGTGATCTGACCCCGATCTGGATGCATAAAGCTTCTTTTCTGCTATAGCTATCACTGTTCTCCCTGTATTTTCAGCAACTGCTGAGTGCAGTGGAAAATACCCAATCACACAGGGCCTGGCTTCCAGCAAAACCTATTAAACTGAGAGAATCAGCTGGATTTCCCTTTGACTTTTTAATACAAATGTGGTCCCTGATCTTCCAAAGACTTATGCACCTGCTTAGCTTTGCACACTGTGAACAGTCCCAGGGAGTCTCAGAGCACAAAGTTAAATACTCGAGTAAATCTTTGCCAGATTGGAGTCCAAAGTAGGTAACAAAGTTAAAGCAAATATCCAGTACTGTATTTCAGAGACGGGCATAGGAGATTTAAACAAAGAATCAGAGAAGAAGGTAAGGCTGGAAGAGACCTCAGAAGAGCCTTTAGTCCAGCTGCAGGCAGCAGGGAGCAGCCGTGGCCCGGCGGATCCTGACGGGAGGCTGCCCAGTCTTTCCCGGGCAACCGCCGTCTGGGGGGCCCCCCCGCCCTTCCCGGGGAGCCAGCCCGGTCCTTCGCTGCCGCTGGAAAACATACCGTAATGTCTACCCCAAATTGTTCTCGCCACAAGTTAAGACCATGATTTCTTATCCTATCTGCAGGGGATATGGAAAGTAAGCAATTAAGAAATGTGAATGTCGGAGTTGCAACTATTTTTAGTTTGAAATTTATCTCGGAGAAAAAGGATTTGAATATAGTAATTTATTTTGTCACAGTGTCATCTAACTTCTTATTCAACTTTAACTTTGTTTTTTTTCCCCTAATAGCTTTTTGAGAGATTAATTTTGAAGACAACATTAGGGAATAGAAAAGGTGCAAGCGTTTATTCACCAGTCTAGTGAAACTAGAGGATAAATATTTAGAGGTGTGAAGAAAAGGAGAATGATAAGGACCCAGCTTTTCAAAAACAGCTACAAAAGCCTGAGGAAGAAAGTGTTTTCACAATAGCAGAACGCAGGAAAAAGCAGATCAATTAGCCCATCAGCCACAGAAGAGCGCCCGCTCCTCTAGTGAAGTTAACAGGGGATGAACTGTTGTTCACTGAGGCTTATTTCGCTGGGGTCTCTCCGGTTCTCCGGATGGGAATGACTGCACCAGCCTTCCCCGGGCAGGTTTTCCCCACGGGGCGCGCGGTGCCCGAGCAGGAGCCTGGCGCTGGGGTTCATCGGGGAAATCCAGCACTGGACTCTCGCACCGACCAACATGCACTTATCAAGCGACTTCTTTTGCTGCATCACTTCTCTCCATTGCACAAAGGAGGAAGGCAGGAGCGCCCCTGCCCTTCGGCGCAGCCTCTCCTGTTTATTTAGAGCAGCCTTTCGCGGGAAGGAGGTGCTGCTCCTCGTGTCCTACGGCATCTGACACAGCGGAGCACTGCCCCGAGGCAGCCCTCGGCACGCTCCTGGCACGGAAATAACGGTAAAAGTAACCTGCCCGGATAGAGTTGCCCAGCACGGAGCCTGGGGAACCCCTTTCAACCTGAGTAAATCCCAGGCAGGGTTGCTTTGCTGACTGATTGTCCCCGCTACGCAACGCATCCGTCACCAGGCCGCGGGTGCGGAGGGGGTTAACCCCGAAAAGCATGCATATGCGCCAGAGGGGCGCGGGAAAGCCTGGACATGGAAAGCTGCTTGCACATGCAGGAAGGGTGCTGAGCCCAGCTCCCCTCGTGGGCCCGAATCGCCCCTGCAGCCAGCACCGAGCAGCAGCCAAACACCTCGGACCGCGGGGCACCCGCAGGGCTGAGGAGAGACGGCTGCAGAAACACTGCAGAGACCTCGCGCCTCGCTCAGCACCGGCCCCCGTTTCAGTAACACTAAATCAAACCCTGTACAGGCGGACAAAACACCCCTGTGCCACCCTGGACACAGGCTGAGGTGGCTTCACAGCAACCCAGAAGTAATGATAAAAGCAAAGCTAACCCCAAACGGGGAGCGCGAAAGATCCTAAAGTCACCAGCTCCCAATTTGTCATCTGCTCTGAAAACACAGAGCGTGCACAAAATACATACAAATATAATTCAGCTCAGTGGCTCAGGTCATTGGATTGCACATCCATAGACACCCGTTCAATTTTTGTTTCAAGTGCCGCAGATACAAATTGCAGGGGTAGGGTCAGCTCCTCGGGCACCGGGAAACAGTACAGCAGGGGCGAAACAGGGAGAACAGGAAGGGGGGGAACTGAAATAGAAAAATTGCTGAAAAGCCTCCTGCAGCTTGTCAGGGGTATTAACTTAGGATGATGTAGGGGAAACAACTAAGTGGTTTTTGTGTCAGCTATACTGAATCAAACTTGTTCAAATATATGCAGGCATGTGTGCAGTGAAGAATATAAGCTATCTCCAGAATGGAAAGCAGGCTCTTAGTTGGGAGAGTTTTTTATGTTGTGCAAGCACAAGGAAAGCCATGCATAAATTAGATTAGGCACAAAGGGGGAAACGACAAGCTGGGGCTGCTACGCTGTCCTGAGGTTTGGAGGGCAAGGATGGAGGTGACTGCCTGGGCACAGCAGAGCGAGGAAGAGCACGGCACAGGCAGGAGCGGGATCACGGGCCAGCACCCACAGGCCACGAGAGCAGCACACGTACACGGCACCGTCCCTCTGCTGTGGCGAGGGCTGAGGCCGGAGGCGAGCACCTGGGCAGGCCAGGGCATCCCACGGGCCTGCCTGCGCCTCTCTGCTCCCTCACTCCCTTCGCAAGGCACCTAGCACAGGGCTCTGCAGCACCACCAGCTACTGCAGGCATTAATTCATTAATATCAGTGGCACTCTGCAGCCTGGGGGTGATGAAGACATAGGAGGCACCAATTACAGTTATTACTCTCCTTTTATCCTATTATGGACTGCTTTACTTCACAGAGGGGAGGTCTGGTGCATGCACACACCTCTCCAGGGGGAAGAGCAAAAAGATGCCACTCTCAAAGCTGGCCAAAATGAGCCCTTCTTTCCCAGGTAGATTCTCACCCACATTACTCCAAGAGCACAAACATGCCTAAACGCAGACTGGAAAGTTCAGAGAAAAAGGACACACTGGCACAACCCCATCCAACAGCCCAGTAGAGGCTCTGCCCACACTAGCACCAAGGAAAACCGCAGCTCGAGGAGCCTGGGACGCCCCTACCTCCATCACTGCAGCGCCAGCACAGCCCCACCATCCAGCAGCATCTCTCCAGACAGCCTCCTCACAGCCCAGCTCCAAACAGCCCTCACTCCCTGCTCCCCCCCCGCCGCTCGCTGCTGGCTGCTCTCCAGCCACCCAGCTGTGCTTGGCTGCAGGTGGCCCCAGTGCCAGGTGATTTGGGGTCAACGAGCTCTTGCTCTGCTTGCTTCCATGGCTGTGTGTTGCACAGTAGCAGAAGAGCGTGGAAAGGTCTATATCTGCTCATCTGCCTTCCCATCACGAGGGAGTTGAAACCCCTGAAATGAGAGGGAATCTTCCCTGCTGCTGTCTGCTCGCTCATTATCAGCCGCAACATGCTGCACATGTATTTGCGGGCATGCACAAGGAAGCATACGTATTTATGCAGCATGTGCGTATAATGCAAAGCCAGGAGCACGGTCGTTCCAGGACAGCAGATCAGTTATCTGAAAGTCCCCCTTCCAGCTGATTGCTAAACCGTGCTACAGATAAAGCTGAGATGGTGCCAGCAGCCAGGCTTAAAAAGAAAACAAACTTGGCACCCTTGCAGAAGGGTGACGGGGGGAGGGGGGAGCTCCTCTCGCTGCTGCTTCATCTTGAGCCCGCAAGAGGAATGGCAACGTGCCCAAGTGCTTTCAGGGCTTCTTGGCACAACGGCGGGGCATCGAGGCCGCTTCCCTTTCTGCACGATTGCAATTCAGTGTCTCCCTCTAGGGCACTCCTTTAAAATTAAGTAGCAATGAAAGGGCATCCTCGGCCCTAGAGGAGCCCTGACGCCGTCACTTTGGCAGCGCCCAGAGCTGCCGGCGCTGCCGTTCTGCACGGCGGGCTCTTCATGTTGCAGGATGGGCATGTTCCTCGCCGCCGTCTCCTTTCTGGTTGGCTTGCGATGAAATCCTCAGAGAGCCTTTTTTTCTTTTAAGCATGTGTTTTGCAAACAAGTAAACTGAGAGCAATTATTAAGGTGAGGAAATAATTGTAGTGGAAGATTCAAAGCAGAGCAACATGACCACAGGCAGCTTCTCCGGGGAGGGTGGCCAACAGGGCCTGGCTTTTGCTTCCCAGCAGCTAAATCAGGAGGTTTGATGTTCCTGCCATAGCGTAGATCTCCTTCTGCTACGGGAAGCATTGAGGATGCTTGTGGAAGAGGCTGCTTGCTCTCTCCTCTTCCTCACAGGCTGCTTTTTTACTTATCGCTGCGTGAGTAGGGCTTGTTTCCGGGAAATGTGTAAGCACACGCTAATTCCAAGCACTTCTTCCAGTGCGCAGCTGAACCAGACTCATAAAAACATGCTCCGCACCTCAAGTGCTTGCGGGAGGTGGAAGCTGTCCCCCGCGGTCTGCGAGGCCAGGAGCCCGGCCGGGAGCCCCCCGCCGGTCCCGGGGGACGGGTCTCGTCCACCCCCACCACCTTCAATGCTCAGTCTGCAGGATTGTTCCCGGCCTCTTGCTGGAGCGGATGGACGTGTCTCCCCGGGGATGCGGGATGATGGGAAGCCCCTCCGAAGGGCCGGGCTTTAACAGCGATAGCAGCAAGTTAGGGCGAAACATAACCTC